GCCCTGCTCGGAGTCGGAACCCTGTCCAGGGTCCTCCACATCCTCCAGGGCCGACTCATAGGGCCCCTCGCTGTCGGAGTCAGGTGGCAGCTCCAACGGCTCCTGCTGGGCCACAACAGGATTGCATCCTATGAAGTCCCTAGGAGATTGTAAATTCTTAGGTCATTGTGGCTTGATCATGGCTGAGGGGGAATGTGACATGGGAGCTTTGCATCTCACAACTGTCTGTAGTGTATTTTCTAAAAATGGTTAAGATTCCCATAAAATTAGAAAGTGAACGTTAGAAGAATTAAACTGTAAGGAAGAAAGAGTCTATTCCCAAGGGATTAAATGAAGCAAGCATAGTTCTACTCTATCTCTTGGGCACAGAACTGATGCAATATTAGGGATAAAAATACATAAAAACACTGAAATTCAAAATAAAAATGCAGGGTCATCAAGAATACCTCATCCCTCCACTTTCTCTCCAATTGATTAAGCAAGAATCTGGCAGGTTTAAATTCAAAAAGATTACGACTGCAGAGGAAAAAAAATCTGGAATGGAGTGTATAATGCTAGATAAATCTGGGGGGGGGAAGGGGAAGGACCTTGGAGAGCAACCTTAACTGTGCTCTCTTCCATCTTGCATGCTATCTTCTTCTGCCAGCATCCACATTTATTGAAAGAGATTTCTAGATTTCTAGAATCAGTGCTTGAGTACTAGTGCCAGAAAAATCCAACAATTTTTATTTCTAGAGGGGAGGTGAAAAGAAGCCTGTAGACTCAAGAAGATAAATAAATGATTCAGATTGTTTAATTCATCTGATGCTGCTTCCACACCAGACGTGGCCTTACCAAAGGGATTTTTTCGTGTGTCTTAATGTGCACTTGATGATGCCAAGTGGTTAGGGGCCTTCTTTGGCAGCAGTGACAAGGCCTGCAACGTCTGCTATCAAAACATATTAGTTCATCCGTGGCACGACAAAACCGCGCTTGTCAAAACAGCGGTGATAAAATCGCATCGCTAAAGCCGCAACGTCATCACCGCGCGTCATCACCGCCGCGACAACAGCGCGGCAACAGAAGGGCGCTTTAAAACGGCGCCGCGGCAGAAAGCCGATTTTAATTAAGGTAAGGGTTAGGATTAGGTTTAGGGGTTTGTTTTAGGGTTTGTTTTAGGGTTAGGTTTAGGGTTAGGTTTAGGGTTAGGTTTAGGGTTAGGTTTAGGGTTAGGT